AAATTTTTTGTCAACTCTCTTGTTAAAAATTCGTATAAGTCGGAGGAGTCAGCATGAGATACATGCGTCTCCGCACGTAATGCATATGTACGGAAACTCAGTTCGGAGGAATTAGCGGTTAACTAATTCCTTGAGAAATTAAATAATTACGTGTACGCGAAAATTTTAAATAGAAAGGTCCGTTTGATCGATTATTATTGTCGTTCGGGGATTAAGAAATTGTTGATCCATTTCTCATACTCCCCGAGCGGTGAATCATACGGGCGTGTATACGCCCTGTGTACGAGTGCGAACGAGTCGCGTATAGGAAAAAAGAGAGAGCCGTGTATCGGCAATCATACGCGTACCGCGACTTATTATTACTCCTAACCGGTGCGTCTACCGAGGAACACGTANTTCGGCACGAGGAAACGAGTTGTTCTCTTCTCGTGTCGATAGAATTATACAGTCCACGCGAGGCGAAGACGAGTCGGTCGCACACGTCTGACGCCAATTAATTGCACGGGTATTCGTGCACCGCATAATTTGTACTCTTTCGACTTGTTTCCAGAAATTCGAACCAAGCTAACGCCGGTGTTGGCCACCGAGGACGTCGGGGTTAGACGGGCAGTCCCGTCTGGATTTTTCAATTTATTTATTTTAATAAACGGTTGTGGGTTTCGAAGGGAAACTTTTCGAGTCATTATTTAAGAATTCCCGATTCTCTCATTCCGGCTCCCAGATAGGGCAACCATCCCTAACAGGGACATTGTTTTAACTAACAATGGTTTCCCTCAGATTCAAACAAGTATAGATAATACAGGAAAAAAAGTCACAATTGTAATGCCACCGTTTTTGGAAAAAAAAAAGAGTTTGCATAGGAGGAAAATGAAAACACTTACACTATTGCAAAGGTTCGGATATACGTTGAAAAAATTATGCAGTGTTTTAGAATTTACCGTATTTTAAATAAAATACCGGAAAATCTATTTGAATGTATAGACAATATTGTACAAGTGTGTTGTGTACTGATAAATTTGTAACCACCAATAATTTTAGATGTAAAATGAAAAAAATTATACGTACAAATAATGACACGCTTATGTTTGTAATCGTAAATATGGAATGTGTAATAATTTTATACTGATGAAGGAGTTATTTATTCATCATCACTTTGTAAGTTTCAATAAGCAGAACAAAAATCCAATGTGTTAGGGATAAGTGGCCCTAACAAGGAGTCCGGAGAAGAAACGGGTAATGTAATAATTGACACAAGGTTTTTTCAACAAAAAGAACCCCAATTTATTTAAGCGAAACCCTACACCCTTAAACTTATAAAAATTGACGAAATAAGACAAGAACAAGAAGGATCCTGACGGCGATCCGGCCCTGGTCCTTCGGTCTGGTCTTCAGCTGCTCTCTTTAATCTCTGTAATAAAGAAAGATTTTCAAACACGAGTACTCGTGCTGCTAACGAACTACCTGCGAGTTGATACCGCTCGCAGATGCTTTAGTGGACTGTACTTTTCGGGAGCGAGATTCCTCGTGCCTCCCAGTCTTCGACCAGAGGATAGATTTTCCTATTCCTCGGTACGAATTGGAACGGGTTGAAATTCCCTGCCGAACGTGAAAACGCCACGCCCGACGCCGATCCCTTTTGTTCACGAAATGATCAGCTGCCCGAACGCTGAACTTCACTAGGAAGTATTCTCAGCGTTTGTTTAACGAACCTTAACGTCGACAAACCGTTGAAGAACGTGAGTGCGTCTGCGACGAACACGTCGTTCCAAACCGCAATTCCCTACCGGCTCTTACGAGTTCAAGGTAATCGCTTTCAAAATCCGAAAACCTCGGATCAGGAATGCGTTGTGGAGTTGGTCGTAAAGCAACTCCGTTTTAATGGGGACGATTCCGTCTCAGACAGAATCTTTTATCACCAAAAGGCAAAGAGATCCGTCTCTCCAAGAACCGCGATCTCGATAAAAGATTCCTAATCAGTTCGCAAGGAACGTAACACGTCCTGGCGCGAGGCGAGCACAGCGAATTCTACTGCACGCCAAAATTGGGATGGCCAATCCCTTTTAGTCGAACGTAACAGCGGACTGAAATTCAGGCTCGCTTTTCTCGCGTTAATTTGTTAAAGACAGAGAATACCTCTATCCCAAACAACTGCTAGCAGTTCTTTTTCAGTCGTCGTATAGAGTCGTCTCAAAGAACCTACCTCAAGGGACGACGTACTGAAAGTAGTCTTAAGGATCTCGATGCGAAAAGGAACGCTCTCTTCACTGGACGATTAAGGTATGAAGAATTCGTCCGCAGTCGGAATCGTGAAACTACGACTTCTCCCCACTGCAAGGCGAATCTATTAGTCCATCTTGCTTCGATACCGAAATTCTCTCGCTTGGTTTTATATAACTGTTTAATAATTCTATCGTCCGATCGATTCCAATCGCGATAGATTCAAACCATAGAGATAATATAAATAGAGGAGGGAAGCCATAGGGATCTCTGTAAGTGGAAAGATCCTTCGAGAAGAAAGAGAGAAAGTATTTGTGGCACTATCTGTTCTTTTCTAATGGCGCATGCGCACTATTCAGTAGCAGCAGCAAGCAGCAGTGAGCAGCTTGATACTTTCTTTGTTGTTGGTTAATATTATAAGTTTAAACATGACGAGAACTTGTATAGTGTGCAAAAAAGAGCCCGTCCTTTATGATAACAGTCGACGTTTCCACAGGTAAGCTTGATTAAATTTTTATTTTATAAATACTCTTTCTTTTCTTCATTATGTATTTCATACCGTACACGAATAATTGCT